AGAATCTAATAGAAATATTAAAAATATTTTGATATAAGGAGAAAAAAAAATACATTTAAAAAAAAAAACCTGTCCCCCTTGTCCTGTTGTTTTACGTTTGTTTGGTATTGGAATATTTTCCCAAAATACATAGAATAAACACTTTTGAACAGCTTTGAATTGTAAACAAAACTGCTCTCTATTAATCATTTGAGAGAGCACTTTTTGTATTCTATCAGTGTGGTTGATGCTAATTTCCAGGTGAGTGACTTGTTGCTGTCTTGGGCTAACATTCTCAGCTGGCTTGAAGTGGATAGACTATATTGAATCCATTGCTGCTGGTCAGTTGCTAAGATAGTTGGTTCATTGTGTCATGTGAGATAATTTTTCTCTCCAGAATCTATCTTACATATCTGCAAGGAATGCTTTGAATATTACTACCAGATCTGATATGGTATTCTTGATAAAATCTAAAGAAGAATCGGCAATATTTTTGGTCCTGACCTGGCATCTTGGTTTCAGTCACTTTCCCGTTGCCGTAATGTAGCTTTCCTGTGCCTTCTCTATAAATACTTTCAAAGTAATTGTTCAAATGAACTTTTCACTATGGTACGTAAACTTTATGAATTTAAGCACATAACTAGATTTGCAGCAAGGTCTCATCATTTTACAGTTGAATTGGCTGTATATAACTGTAAGTTCTATGCTAACTGTTCCACATGTGAGAAGTGTGAGTAAAGAAATTCTCTTCCAATCCCATGCTTCCCAGTCATTTTTTTCCTTCAAAAATTTAAATGCAATGTCAGTTGCTATCTACTGTCCTGATTTCTCACTCCTTAGTGATGTTTCTCTTTTTTACTAATTCTTCCACACTCAGTAACCCTTTGTCTCGTAGTGGCTTTACTGCCTTGCGTGGGATGATACCAATTAAAAAAAAAAAAAAAAATAACTTGGAGTTGAAAGTTACATTCTGAAATCATAAGATAGTTTACTTTTATACTCGAGCACTTACAGCCATATCATGTTGAAAGTTAAGCAATGTTGAGCCTGGTCAGTACCTAGAGGGGTGACTGCTTGGGAATACCAGGTGCTGTAAGCTTGGATGTGCAGGTGGTGTAATGGAAGATGGCTTGGAAGGAGATATTGGCGCAGAGGTAGAATTCCAGTCAGGTTTCTTATATTCACTTATGTGATGCCTTAGGAAAGGTATGAATCCTCTTCTTCTCCTCCCAGCTATGGATTAAATAGTAGGAATTTTTCAGAAAATTATTATCTAAAAAAAAATTCCTAAATTAAAAAAAAAAATTTGGTTTTAAATAACTTTAAAAAAGGTTGATAAACCATAAAAAAAGAAATCAATCATTCAGACTAGATATAGTAAATATCACTGGGGAAATGTTTGCAAAGTGTCAAATGATTACTCGTGAATTCACTATTCACTCAAGATGGACAATAGTCACTATACATTCGGTCCTCTTGCAATTGATAGTCTTTTCATCTGTCTTTCTTTTATTACTTTGTCTAGACATTTTTGTATCGTAACATCTATATATGTTGTTAAAATTGTTCCCACCAATAGTAAAACCTGGTAGGACTTCTAGTTCTCTGATGGTCATCTTGCTGTAAAAGGTTAAATAAATTCAGTGAGAAGACACATCCTTGTCAAATGCTCCTTTCTATTTTGATTTACCTCCTCCATTCATTTTCTATCAGGCAGTCTTCTTCCAGCAAATGTTCTGGATTATCCTTATATCTTTGACAAATAAATTAAGTTTCCCTAGCAGTTCAAATACAGGGTGAAATGGTTAAATTGTCATCTAAATTATGCAAAAATGAAAAGAACACTGACATTTCATTTTAACAGATATATTTACCAAAATTACACCGTTCTGGGTATGACTATAAATTACATCTGCATCCTGAGTAAGACGATAAACTACGTCCAGCAGCAAGGCCTCTGATCAGGAGGTTTTGAGGAGTGTAGAATCACCTCTTAATTGCTGATGTTCCCAGGTCCACCCTAACCTGGGGTGGTAGCACCTGTTAGGGTCCCAGCTATGGGAAAATATTTAACCATGAAACTGGGGTAAAAACACTATGAAAGTGTAAAATAGGTTTTAATACTAGAAATACTTTGTAACGAAAATTATTACCAGCAATAAATTTTTGAAGAAAAAAAACTATTAAAAGCAATACATTTTTGAAAAAAAAATATGACCAATAATGTTTTTTAAAAAATAAATATTACCAGCAATACATTTTTGAAGGAAAAATATTACCAGAAATAGATTTTTGACAAAACAAAATATTACCAGCAATAAAAAATTTTGTCCGTGTTAAATAACCCATTGAGGTTGATATGCCATGAAATAAAATAAACCAAACTAAACCAAAATTACACAAAAATATCTTGAAATACTAAAGATTAAATTTAATGAATAACCTTTAACCATGGCCTCCAGATGACTTTAGAATCTCTTGTAACACTTCTGGGTGGTCTCCTTGTTTAAGTTGTTGAATAACTACCATATTTCTTGCCTTCACTTCATCTTTGGTGTTATAAGTTTTGTTGGTCTCTTGCTCAACTGTGGTCCACACATAATAATCAGGAGGGTTGCAGTCTGGGTAGTTAGGCGGCCAGATGTAAGTGTTGATGTGGTTGCGGAAATTATCTAACACCTATGACTGAGTTCTCCTGCTTGTATGGTATGGTGTAGAGTCCTGTTGTCAGACATAGGTTCTTCCAGCAGCCACCCTCTTGACCCAGGACAGCCCTATCTCCTCAAGGCACTTGATGTAGACCGCTGTTTAGTCTGAGGCCCACACAAACAAATTTGGAAGTTCTTATCAGAACGATCAGAGTGAGTTTTTTGAACTACCATACCTTTGTAATCACCATTAGACTCATCCAACTCTTTCTGAATCCTCTGCACTATCCTCAGATTGACACCCAACCACACTGAAATGTTCATATTGGAGCTTCCAGTGCAAATTCCAAGCAGTACAACATGCCAGTTCCAAATTTCTTGTGAAGTGAATTGCATCATGATGCTCTTTTCCTCATAGATGGTGCCCAACTGACCCTACTATACTATGCAGTTGACAAAATCAAAAACAAGCTATATGCATGTATGAAATTAAAAATATAAAATGCCGCCAATTTACCCATTGTACCCTGTAGGTCTTTGTGTCAAACGCTTATGTAGAGACTATAAAACATTGGAATTGATCCTGCATTTGTATTGGTTGCTTTATCACTCTGATCATAAACATTGCATTGCTGGATCTGTTTTCTTTTATGAAACTGCACTGTTCTTGCTCTACTTTTGGTTTAATTATGTTATGTATTATAAAATCTAGATGATAAGCTTGGTTATATATATCATTTAGCTGATAGTTTGATGGAGCTCGCATTCATTTGCAGCAGACTCTTTAGGCAACACTATGAAGATGGCCTTTATTAAGGCCTTCTAGTATATTGCCTCTGTATATTTTATTTATTATTTACATTGTTGATTTTGATTCATCACAGGCTGATAGTGTTTAATAAGCAGGCATTTAAATGGAACTGACATAATTCTCAAAAGGACAGGACAAAATAATACAACAACAAAACATTTCAAGGCAAAGTAAAGCAATTATAAGACATTAAAACAATAGAAACAGTGATCATACACAAACCAGATACAGGTTATAGCCTTCTGTGTGGATAAGACACTCTGTTGGTTTCACTCTATAGGAATGACTGCTAAGAACATCCCCTTCCACAAATTTATAGATAAATCCAACAGATGTATACTGGGATTTCTTCCTAACCAATAAAAATAGACAAATTCTACATCTCATACCCCATATTTTTAAATTCTATAACCTCTTGGCTATATCCATTTTGTTTTTGAAACACCATTCTTACTTAGTGAAAGTTGGGCCTTATTACTGTTGCTTGGCCTAGTTTTGACTTGCATATATGTTGTTTGCTTAGTTTTGACTTGCATATATGTTGTTTGCTTAGTTTTGACTTGCATATATGTTGTTTGCTTAGTTTTGACTTGCATATATGTTGTTTGCTTAGTTTTGACTTGCATATATGTTGTTTGCTTAGTTTTGACTTGCATATATGTTGTTTGTTTAGTATTATTTTGGCCTGTTCTTTTTCTTGTTTATTAAGAACTTTGTCAATTCTGCTTACTGAGAATTTTGTCAATTACACTTAACCTTGGTCAATCCTATTGTCCAAAGTAGATTTCTTTCATTGCGGTGAGGAAAGTTCGGCATTGATCAACATTGGTATGGAAGTGCAAACTATTCCCAATATTTGAGTCAATGCGATTTTGATTTCTTGTTTAAAGTTTTTAGAGAATGGTAACAACTTTTACAATATGAGTGAATAATTTTGCTGTAATCTTCCATAACTTCTTGTGTAAATTACTGGAATTTTTAAATGGTATGTGCATGGCATGGCAGGGAGGAGGAGTACAAGCCTTAATTTGAATATGAATTTAAAGGGATTTAAAATCTGTGAATTCATGAATTTAAAAAGCTTTTTTTGAAGTAAATTTTATTCTTTTGTGTGCCATGTCCCTTCAGAACGTAGGCGATCATGGCCCTCCACATCTTCTTGTCCCTTGTAGCTCTTAATAAGTTTTGTCTTTGTTATTTCTCCCAAAACCTGTTCTGCTATCCATTTTCTGAAGCCCATCAAGTATGTCATGGGCTGCTTTCCTCTTTCCGTCAATCTGTCCTGTGAGTATCAGATTTACCAAGCCCTCAACTGCTTCTTCCTGATGTTAATATAAGTTTCCTTTTCGTTTCCATTCTCTCCAAAAGCTCCTTGGGTTGTCAAAAAAAAAAGAAGTTTTTTCAGCCTTCTGAAAAGTGCATTTTTGATTTGTAATAAAAGAAATTAAAATAATTTTTTGTAATTATTTTTCTTATTTATTTATAATTTTTTTGTTTGTGTTTGTTTTTTTGTAGTGGTTGGTGTTGGTTCCTGGTGCTTTCATATGACATTATTATACAGTATGCAGGTATGTCTCTGTTTTATTGTAACATTATTTTGGAAATCTTCAGTCTGTGGTAGAGATAAAAAAAAAAAAAAAAAGTATGGTTGAGTATTAATAAGGAATAAGATCCCAGTGAGATTGATATAGGAATGCCTGGCTAACATTATCATATTGTCTTCTTTTATCAGGACATTGGCCATCATGGCTCTCCCCAATTTTCTGTCCAGGGTAGTTCTTCCATTTACTCAAGCTCGCTAGCTAGCTTATGCTTTGTTTTTTTTTGTCCCTCTTCAATATGTCTTGTTAGTATCAAATTTTCCAAGCCCTCTTGTTATATGCCCAAGAAATTTTAACTATTTCTTTCTGATGTCCAATATAAATGTCCTTTTTCCATTTTTCTCTGTTTTCATTTTCTTTAAATCTTTGTCATTGCACACATATTCAGGCCATGCTATTTTCAGCAAGTAGAACTCATGCATACGATCCATTGCTAAAGATGCTGGGAAAATGGTCAGTTCCCATGTACCACTCCAGCAAGTACCTGACTCCTCCTGCTATCGTCTACCTTTTACAAGAGCTAGATCAGGCTGAAAATGGAATACTCCTGCTATATACAGGGTGTCCATAAAGTTCGTGTGCACTTTAAAAAATTTATAACTTTATTTGTATAGAAATAAGCTGTAAAAAATGTTATAAAGTTTAATGTAACTAGTTTTAAGTATAGCTAAAATAACTAATATGATTTATTTCTATCGCAAATACAAATAAAGATATAAATTTTTTAAAGTGCACACAAACTTTATGGACCCCCTTTATATATACGGTCAGGAGCTACTGAATCTTCAATTTCCACTCTCTATAACATCTACATCTTGTAGACAATAAATTATTTTCCACCCTGCAACCCCTCTCTCACAGATGAGACGTCACAAGCCTCTCACTGTTCTATCACTATTCCTATGGTGAGTGTTCATATGAAGTACACTTGTTAGTTCCACCTGTTTAAACTTTTATGGCTAAGACATGCCATGTTCACTGTAGCAAACCACTCTCATTCCCTTCATATCTACCTGGTGAGACATTAAGTTCCAATCAAGCAGCTTGTTCCCACCCTCCCTTGTGGAACCAACTCCCAAGAAGTTGCTTCCCTGATCACAACAATCTTAACATGTTTGCGTCTAGGGTTAACACTTATTGTTGACGCATATCCACATAAGCTGTGCCTCTTACTCTGTAACCCTCTACCTAGAGTGGCTCTCGGGCTCTGTACAGGGTGAATACCACTGTAGATTAAAAAAAGAAAAGAAACATCTTTCTGTTGAACCATGTTTCTGTTGCTTCAACTCTCTTCTTCATCTGTGAGGAGATTGTCCAGTATTTGCTGCTATGAAGGAGGATTGAAATTACATAACCGTTTCGCACTGTTTTCTTTGTTTCTAATAAAATTTTCCTGTTTCTTAATATTTTGTTTAACTTTTGGTAGGCATCTTTCGCTATCCAAATGTCCCATCATCTGCCCTTTTTAAAATATTAAAATAATCAGAAGCAGTTTGTGGGTAGAAGTTGCTTGTGTAGAAATTACATCTCACCACGGAGATGAGAATGGTTTGTTACAATGGGTGTGGCATGGCAGGTCTTAGACATGAAAGTTAGAACTGGTGGAACTAAGGAATGTAGTTCGTCTGAACACTTTCTGTGGAAATAGCGATAAGTTGATAAAGGAGTGTTACCTAATGTTAATTTTGACCAATAATTTTATTTTATGTTTAGTTTATTAATTGTTTCTTTATTGCAACTTTTGTCAGGGACTCATCAGAATAAAAAGCATACTTTGGAATTAATGAATGTTGCCAGTGAGATTTGAATTCACACCCATTGATTTAGGAAAGCCTAGTTCACCATACTGTCAATCTTTTTTTTCTTTTCTTTTTTTTCTTTCCTTTTTTTTCTTTTTTTTCCCTTTGTTTTTTTCCCCTTTCTTTTTTTCCCCTTTCTTTTTTTTTCCTTTCTTTTTTTTTCCTTTCATTTTTTTTTTCCTTTTTCCTTTCTTTCTTTTTTTCTTCTTTCTTTATCATTTAGCCCCAAGAAAGGTAACAAAGTTGCTAAGACAGAAGGGATTATGTCTTACTACTAGGAAGTTAAAGATTAATAAAAATAAAAACTTAGTTACTACTCTTTCTCGATCTCTCTAGGTACCATAATTTTGTTTTTGTCTTTTTTTATTATTTGTATTAGTAGCTATGATATTACCTATGTTTGTAAATGAAATATTATCAACCATTATTAATGTTTAATTTTGGCTTGTAAATTTTTATTCATTTATATATATATATATATATATAATATAATTTTTTTTTTTGACTTGCTTTTTATTACAATTCTGTTTGGTCTGTCCATCTATAGTAGCAGGCAGAATGGATCTGGAACAACAAACAAAATTATTACTTCCGATTTACACTGTTTACTTGAGACTATAGATGGATGGGCTTTGTATAATTTTGATAAAAAGCATCTAAAAAAAATGATTAAATAAAATTACAAGCCAAAATTAAAGATGGCTGACAATGCTTCTTCTCAAAATAAAGATAATATCATTGTGTCCTATTTACAACATTTTTAGAAACTTGTGACCATAAAACTGAATGCTCACAGTTATCACCAACAACTTTTATGAACATTCATTTTTAAGGATTTAAATGAATTGGTAAAAAACAGGTTGGAAATTTAAGAAGTGAACCAAGGTGGATGCCAAAATGAGGCTATGTGTTATGCATAAAAGCTGAGAATTAAATATCTTTTTTAGTATTAAGATTAATGTTGATGGTAAGAAAAGCTATTTCCTTATAAGGAAATATTTGGCACTCATTGACTAAACAGTATTAGTTTTGGTTGAAATTTATAAAATCTTTCTCTTAAAACAGTTTTTCAAAAAAATAAGCTTGTCATATTCACTGTTAACACTCTTTGTAATTTGTTCTTGGTATGATGATAAACTACATCCGGCAGCAAGGCCTCTTATCGGGAGATTGGAGATTTTGAGGAGCGTGAAACCACTTCTTAACTGCTGTTGTTCCCAGGTCCACCCTGACTTGGGGTGGTAGCACCTGTTAGGGTCCCAGCTATGGGTAAATAGTGATTCCCCCCCAAACAAAAAGCAACAGGTCATTTTTATAGCAAAATGACCAGCAACACATTTTTATTGCAAAATGACCAATAATACATTTTTATAGTAAAATTACCAGGAATACATTTCATGATCTACAAACTATATATATATATAAAACAGTTTACTTTTACCCTGAAATAAAATTATGTACAAAATATTTAGATTTTGACATTATATGACCCATAGAGATTGATAAGCCACTAAACAAAATCAACCAACCAACATATATATGCACAAAAGCTGAGTATCATCTACCATGTATTCAACTGTGAAAGCAGAATAACATATAACATATTTTTATTAATTGAAAGCTCCCAAGAAAATTAAATTTCAGCATTAAATGACCCATCAATTAATCACTATTATAAATATAACTAAGAAACCAGAATAATAATAACAATAATAATAATAATAATAATTCTAGAGTGCCCTTTTAATTCAGACCCTGGAGAGGACTTTGTAATTAAATACTTAAGACACACACATTACTGCCTTTAGTAATCATGTCCACCCAAACATGTATATACACAAAAGCTGAGTATCGTCTATCATGTATTCAATTGTGAAAACAGAATAACTTATTTTTATTACTTCAAAGCTCCCAAGAAAATTAAATTTCAGCATTAAATGACCCATATGAAGTTCATGCATTGTTAAACAAATCAAATCAACCAATCAACTCTTTCTAGTATCAATAGAATGTAACTTCCTTATCTTTTTCTTTAAGGTAGTGTGAAAAAAATTTTTTTTCTTCTCCTTTATGTGGATTTGATCTCAGGCTCATCCTATAAAGCCAGACTTTAGTGATTTCAGACTCATAAACAGAAATTATGGATTGATTGATTTTGTTTTTTATGGCTTATCTACCTTTTGCAAGTTATTTAAAACCAGAAGATATTTTTAGATTGTAAAACTTTTATGGTGATAATAATGATTTACTGATAAAAGTTCTACAAATTAACCCATAGATGGGGGAGAAGAGGGGGGATTCCTACATTTCACAAGGATATTTACACATAAGTGAATATAACAAATCTGACTGGAATTAAAATTCAACTCTCCAATTTCCAAATCTGAGCCGTTATCCATTACATCACCCACACTTCCAAGTTTACAGCACCTGATATTCCCAAGAGATCACCCATCTAGATACTAACCAGACTTGATGTTGCTTAACATTGATGATAATATGAGAACTGGCATTTCAACATGATATGGCCTTAAGCTGACTAAAAGAAGGCAGATCTTACCAAAAAAAAAAAAAACCCCAAAAAACCCTTACTCAGAGGTTGAGTGTGGGGTTAATCGCCCTAATTGCAGGTGAATTTGATTGCAAAATCCTCACCAGAGTTATGTGCAATGAAGCTACAGGAAGATGATGATAATAATAATAATATTATATATATATATATATATATATATATATATATATATATATATATATATAATATTTTTTTTTTTTTTTTTTTTTCAATGATGACAGCCAAATTTTGTTAGGATTTTATTTTAAAAATCTATCAGGGTGAGAATTGTTATGACATTCCAGAAGTTCTTTGGAGCATTGATTTCATTTTCTTTGTTTCTGTTGTTATTGTTATGTTTTGATAAATACATTCTATGGTGTTGATCAGATGTCGACCCAAACTGCAAAAACAAATAAATGGTGATCTCACTCATCTCCCCTTATAATGGGAATTGTGATTTTTGATTATTAATTTTCTGAAATTGTCATTATTATTAATTTTTATCTTTTCTTTCTTTCATCTTATTTCTCTTACTTCTTTATACCTAGTAGTAGTAAGTTTTGCGAATTTCTCAGATGATGTATTGTTGTTATTATTATTTGTTTTCATTTTAT